TATCCGCTCGCGGCACCCGCAGCAGGTGAGCACGAATATTTCGCAATTTCATGTAGGATTCATCTTCTGAATAAGTCAAGTTTTCCAGAAATCGACACCGATCCCCGGGAATTGGAACGATTTGCTGAGCATTTCAAGCAACGACGTATAAAACTGGGAGTTACGCAGGTGAGTTCAAGCTAGTGACGTCTGAACATGACGGTTACACTACTCCGAAAACCCTAGTTACCCATGGGAAGAATAAAGTAGGCCAGGAGCTGATATTTGGGTAAAAGTTGTGGTTCTGTTACCTTAGTCAAGCGGAGCTGAAGACAGGGAACATCATGGATGTGCGGAAATTTTTTCCTTAGTAAACCCCAAAATCTTCTTCTTCCACGCTCACCACGCCGGCGGTCAAATCCCGGATCGAGCTCCCGCCCAGGCCAACCAAGCCTTCTACCCTCCGGGGAACGGTAAATTGGTACCAGATTCGTCTGGGAGGATAAAACACTGACTTGTACATCGGCTGGCCACCGCAAGTCATTGTATAGGCCACATCGCATTCAATAAGCCACTACGATTCTGAAAAAAGTAGAATGCGTGCCGCATCCCAAAACAGGATTGATCAAAAAGGGATCGATTGATTGATGACAAAGATCTTTATCCTTTATCTTCATCTTCGATACGAGCCAACATTTGTGGACCGGGAAGGGGGGGGGGGGGCACATCTGGAACGGGAAAAATCAAGATTCAAGAAAGTTCATCCAATCGAATAGATCCTTCCGCAGCGATCAAATACGGCCCCCTGCTTTCGACGATGGTGAACTCAGTTCGGCTGCGTCTTAAAGTGGCGATTCACTGAAATCTGAGAATGGATGAAGGGCCGGCTTACTATCCAGGAAGCGATACCCCCGTTTCCTAGCGAGCCCGGGGTGAACCTCCGGTCTAAATGAGGGATAAATCGAAGCTTGGCCTTGTCAAAGTCACAAAGGCGGTATACGTTAACTTCGAACAAGCTCGTGGTTGACAGACCTATGTCACGGCGACGAGCACAAACTAGCTAGATTTCCTAGCTGGTTGACTCGAAATACTGTAACACGTTCATTTTTGACCACCTGGATCCTGTTGCGAATGTCGCGCACGTGATAACAGTTGTAAAATCGTTTTGGACGAATAATTGCAACATGAATCACTCCACCGCAACCAGCTGACAAATAAAGGCCCTGCAACGCTCAGAAGGCTCATGCTTCGAGTGGTCATCCTAAATTGTAGCCTGATCGTGATAAGTCGGACTGATTAAGGAATACCAAAATGAGAGCTGTTCGTTCAAAGCAGAGAGGGGAGAAGACGTAAATAGGGCACCTAAACCCAGAAAACACTCCTTACAAAAATTTAGGAAAAATTAATGAGTTTGTCAAAATCTTTGGTTGAAAGTCATAGCCTCCGTTGCAGGCCGATGTCGGTAAAGCTTTGGCCCATCTGAAGATGCCCGGTGTTGGATCGCTTTCACAGTCAACGATATGCCGTTTTGAGTCGCTCACCCTCTCCCATAACAACATGGTCGCTTTGAAGCCAATTCTTCACAGTTGGTTAGAAAAGGTAAGTGCTTCTTGAACTAGGCCTATCTCTCGGGTTTACCTTCAATTCACGAAACCTCACGACTTCAGGCCGAAGAAGCTGTGAAACAAAAAGACGGTTGTGGTGATATCTCAGGAATTTTGCCGAACACTGACAAAAAGCGAAAACGGACCAGCATCGCAGCACCCGAGAAGCGGCTCCTTGAAGACTACTTCAGGTAGGATTGTGAAACGTCGTTAGCGATGTTAGTCCGATAACATGATACGTAATTGCAGACAACAGCCGCGGCCGTCCGGTGAGCGAATCGCTGCTATTGCGGATAAGCTCGATCTCAAGAAGAACGTAGTTCGAGTGTGGTTCTGCAATCAGCGACAAAAGCAAAAAAGGTAATTTTCCATCATTACCAATTTTTAAGTCCCTGGAGTCAAACCTTCAATAACTGCGATCCTGTCCAAAAAATACTGTGAGATTTCCGAGAGGTGATTGCTTTCTATACGGTTGGCGACATATCCCGAAGAATGAGGGGGTGTGGCTGCGCACCTCGTTCAAACGTGGTGGCTACTGCGGTTTCGGTGGGATGTTACCATTTCGAGACAATTATGTTGATCTGTTTGTCCAGCACAAGAAAGACGATAATTGTTCCAGATGGAAATACTGCACGATAAGCTGGTCCTACGCCGCGTACAAGTGAAGTACGCAGTCACACCATCCTCATCTCCGAGATATAAGCTGCATGTTGGGTCCGCATCCGCTGTAAATGTACACCCGCCACGAAAGCTGAGACTTGTAAGTAGCCTGTTGTTGAACCTTTGTGTCCGCTATCTATTCAGTATTCCATACACACGCCACACGCCCCATACGGCCAGTCATCAGTAATAGGTGCTAGGCGCAGTCCGGCGACAGGGGGCATTTTGCAATTTCATTGCTTCACTACTTCCGGTTTACAAGTCTCACTATGGTGAAACTTGTGAACTCTTGTGAAGCTGGAGGCGACTATTGCCTAGGCCCTCCTATAGTAAAATCGTGTCAACTCGAGAAAAAGGCATCTGAAAGCGGTCGAACATCGATGGAAGCGAACAATGCCCCCCCTCCCTCCGTCGTCGGACTGCGCTAGGTGCTAGCATAGCAGTCCCTGTGCGGTGACGGCTAGTGACGGTTGTGGTTGGCCATAAGGCGCCTGCTGTGCGCCAGAGAGTGGCGAACATTTACGAACAGCGATCTCACCACACGTCGCATATGGAAAGGATCCACTTCTGAGTAGCGAGGTGATACAGTGTCGTAGCATTTCTTCCAATGCGGTGGGTTGGCTCTGGTGGGGTGACTCTACTTCCCGAGAACACCTTGTCAAGGATGTCCCGCATCATCCCCTTTAGACTAGCTGATATTACCGACTGATTTTTCTCTCCATTGCTGTTCCTAGCACTTGCTCGTTTCAATTGCGGTTCTTCACCTAGTGGTGAAGGATGCCGTTGCGATGCGGTTAGGACTGTGGAGCTATTCCTTGGGAGAAAACTACAGAACATACGGTACCACTTCTAAAACTGCACTTCTTCGCAGTTGTAGAACAGCTCCTGCGAACGGCGACCGATCTATGCAACTGCTTTAACCGATTAGGAGGGAACAGGAGCTGATTAAACCGAATAGAACCAGTAAAACGAACTTCTTTACATGTAAAGAATGTTTTCTAGACCTGAGCTCTGACAGAAGACTAGTTAGGCAGGAATCGCTGTAGGACCATTAGGTTGTGACACTGCTTCCCAATCACTCTATTCAATTCTCTTTGCCAGTCTCAGACTTCCTCACTAGTCCTTTACAGAGATTTCAGGTCACAATTCCGCTGTCGAAACGGGGCGCCCCAGGCGCCACGTCTCATGCAATCAGGCGCCAGTGCCAAATGTCCGCCACCGTTCAGCGCTTTACCTGGCTACTTTGATCATAGCCAACACACCGGTCAAACACTCAGTCAAGAACTCAAGTTTCAATGATAATACGATGACGTGATAGCATTGTTTGTGTGTATTGTAATCGTCATATAGGATTATATCGATTTGTATTGATTGTTATATTGATCGACAAGTAGAGCGTGTGAGTTCTCTACCGGTTTTCTGCCGTGGTGAGATATTGATGATGCCATACCCCTCATTCACTTCTCTCAAGTATTGATCTCAATCATCGCGCAATCAATGTTGGTCTCTAATAATTCGAAATCTCTTCGTATCAGGGTATTTTGTCAGTGTGTACATAGTTATTATTGTATTGATTGAATTAATCGATTGATTAGATAATTTTGTTGTCGAAAAGAATTTATTCGAATGAAGCGTTCAAGCTGATTTTCACTATTCACAGACGGACTCGGGGGGCCGATCCGTAGTATCGGGCAATTTGGTATACCCAGCCGTACCCTGAATGTAGGCACCCCCGAAGTTTTTGTTGTTCCGGACTTGCTGTGCCTTTCGGAGGATGCTGTTGTAACCCGTAGATTCCCACGCTGAGAAACCTCACAACGCTTTCCTTCTGGAACACTCCCATTCCTAACTAACTTACAACTCTTTTAAGGACAACCTTCCACAGTTTTGCAAAGATGGATTCACTCGCAAAACTTCCCATTCCCTCTTATTTATCGGGAGTAACCCTGATGTGAGACGGAGGTGGTGAAATGGCGAGTGGCCCGCTTACTATGCTCGCGAGGGATCAAGTCCCGGATCGACTCCCGCCCAGGCCACCCAGGCCTTCTACCCTTTCGAGACGGCCAACTTCTACCATGCTCGCCTGGGAGAATACGACACCTGAGGCGATAGGAACAAGTTTATTATGACCGAAAGAGGGAATCATAACCATCTTCACTTCACCCTTTTTGAATCGTCAATTAACTCTCCACACCGGACAGTTGAATAACTAAACCATACTAGATACCATAGCAAGCCCCGCCCTGAGTGCCACGTCCACTTTTCGGCGCGGTAACGATTTCTGAAATTTCTCCATAGCTTCTGTTTCTGCACCTGTGCTACTTCCGATGCACACTTACTGAAAGCGGTTAATAATTTGTTTCTAATTCCCACTCTCATAATATTTTTCAACGGCGCTTATTCCACATCCACTCTTGACACGAAGAATCTATTCAAAGCCACCCATTTGTACACCAACATGGCACAGTTTGGCGGCGGGGGGGGGCATTTCCGCACTTTCACTGCTTCACTACTTCCGGTTTACAAGTCTCACTCTGGTGAAACTTGTGAACTCTTGTGAAGCTGGAGCAAGCTCGTCTAGCCACCATGGTAAAACGTGTCAACTCAAGAAAAGGCTATCTAGATGGGTCGACACATCGATGGGAAGCAGAATGCCCCTTCGTCGCCAAACTGCGCCCACCCATATACCAGACAAGCGCATGGATTGACACTCACCTACATTCATTTTATACACATTAATTTTCACAAAGCAATGAATAACCGCCTGCGGCATGCGAACGCTGTTCAAGCGCGTGGGGCTTCGTGGGGGCATCAAATGGTACTCATCGGAGCTTGGGCGGGGACTCCTGTAAAGACCTGTGTTTCCGTAAGCAAAGCGGCTCACTTGTACCAGCTCGCTGCTTTGTACGAGTTTACAGGTCTCATCAAAGTGAGGCCTGTGAGTTACCATGAATACCCCCCCCCCTGTCTACGTATGCCGAACAGTTCCGGACCCTTATTCCACCCTCTACAATGAAGTAGTATTAAAATTCACGGCAATTAATTCAGATAATCGATTTCGACAGAGCATGGACTGCTTGGATCAATAAATCTGTTCTCACAGGATATTCCCCTCCCGAAAAGTTTCGAATTGTGTGGAAACTATGATTTGTAAGGACCAATCGATATATCGATTCTGCGTTGGAAGACAGCGATTTTCCCAGAGGAACGCTTTACATGGAAAAGATCGGAATAGAAAGACCACTTTCACTTCTTTCCGATTGGAGTGAGGAATTGCTATTATTCGCTCAGTTTCGGAGTTACCTAAGTACTGCAAAGGACTGCTGGGACCACCTGTCTACCGGACCATTTCGTCTTGTAAAATATGGTGAAAAATCCGAGGCAGGTGAACCACCTCTCACAGAATGCAGGAAAAACTCTTTGTAGGAAAGGATCAATCCGCCTACCCGGGAATTTTCTCCCCTCCGGCGAAAAAGCTATGCCCCTGCCTTTCATGATTTTGTCGGGGCTCTCAGCGCTAGACATAAATGCTGCCCAGCATGAAAAACAAGAAAAATGGCGTGAAAATGGAGTCTCTTACATTTTGCTGCTTGACAGGACTCAGCTGAACTGCAAGGGAGAGCGTGGAATATTGAACAGGCGCTACAATTTTGATATTCTTATAAATGATGTCAAGTATCGGATTTTTTATTTTATTTCCACGTTAGATGCTGGAAAGTACATCATTGGGTGATGATGTACACATGGGCGCTAGGTAGACATGCGATACAGTAGTAGGAAGGTGGGAAGATCGATGACGGAAGCCGCAGGCAGTGGAAACGCCAGACTGAGCAGCCGGCCATTAGAAAGCGTGTTGACTACGGAGGGTCGGGCAGCTGCTGCGCAGAGTACGTTGCCAAAGCGGAGAGCCGTTAGACGAGCACGAAACTAGAACGCCATGAATGATTCAGTAGGTAGTGGAGAGGAAGGACGAGTAATGAGGGATTTAGCTCGTCGCCGCTTTGCCCTGACGAGGTGAGGGGGTAGAGGCCGCGGGAGCCCTAGAGAAGTGACAGATTTTCTTGTTTATATTTGTTGTACTTACATAATATTTTTGACTATTCCCTTTTACCTCTAACATCGCTTCACACCCTGGACTTATATTGATCAGAATTTATTGTCTAATAATTCAAAGAACGCTGAGACAATTAATTATGGGCGAAGCATGATGAAGGAGACGTGCAACACGCGTTTTCCGCATTCAGCGCATCTCTTACGCCATAAAACAAGTCCAAATGAGCAACGGGTTCCAAAATGAGTTTCTTTAGGAATTGCTTGCTCATATTACTCGAATCATAGAATTGCAAAGGCGGCAACAATGTGCTAAAGTTTGTGAGATAGTACTAAATAGAAAGTGGAGGCGAACCCTTTCGTTCCAAAACTTTCCAGAAAAAAGTTAACCAAGTGAGAAGAACCTGGGGCTTTCAAGTGAAATCTGGCGCAGAATTCGGCTCTAGTCCGCAGCTGGAAAGGGGTATTTCGTGAAGCGCTGTAGACTTCACATAGTCCTTATCGAATCCTGCACAGCTGTGACATGTGATTCAATTTTCACAATATTTCTTCATTTCTGGACGACATTCAGTACTCGGATGTGCGGAGAAACAATTGTGAACCAGGAACATGGCATTTTTGCCTAAGCATTGAGGATAAGGAAACCGATTGGTAAATGAACTCCTTTGAGTGAAGCTGTACCTGTCCACAACTAGGCGAGTACTACTTTTTTAAAAATTTCATCCTCTCGTCTCTTGCTCGCGGGCACTTCGGCCAAGTCACACATGAGTAAAGTTTTCGCAGCCCAGACAAAAGACGTGGATACCAGTACCAGGGCGGGAGATACCCAGTATGTTCCTTGATAATCAGGAGAAGCTTTCGTCCATAACCTTCACGTACACCGAAATATGAAGCCATCTTCAATCGCAGCCGGACTGGAGAAGGCCTATGGAAGTAACGTCAACTCCAAGCAGCTGTGGAACCTCTTGCATCGGTTCACCCACAGGACAGCTACCTGGAGACCGGCGCTCCTGATCTGGAAGACCTCCTACATCGAGCAGCTCCGACAACGCGCTACCTTCCAGGATATCATCTTCACCGCAGTCGCCGAGGCGCGGTTGATGCCGTATGGCTGGAAGTTCTGGAATGGGAAGACCGATATTTTCTTCGTGGGTCCGGGCTGAAAGTGAACGCTGGCGGTTACATCGACCAACTCGAGTAGAATATCCTGCCTTCATGTCATCGCCTGTACCGTCTTGGCAACTTCGTACTGCTACAGGATCGGGGGCCAGCGCGTGGAAGCGAAGGGCGTTGGAAAAACTCTCGCCTATTTTGGTTGAAGGGCGTTTGAGAACTCAAAGGAAGACGCTAGTATCAAGTGTGTCATCTGACCTAAAACCCTGGAGTTACCGCGTTCGGGAGGTCAACAGTATGGTCAATGTGGCGGAGTTTTGTGATAGTTTACAATTTATTGTTGAATACGATGGCGAAAACGTTCAATCAGAATTCAACAAAGTCAACTTATATCGCCTTGAAAGCAAGGAAAAAAAGTGTCTTTTGTTGTCCCCACCCCCACCTGTATACTATTACCTTTCAAGAAACTTGAATTCACAATTTTCAGCTCGAATCAACAATTCTATTGGAAAGACCAAGTTAAAGGCACGTTTCACGATGAACTAGGGCTGTAACCTCTCAAATGTGGCAGATAATAAGGTAGGCGATTGTGGAGGCTTGGCTACCATAAAGAAATGAAACTTTCGAAGAATCCCGGTGGAAGTTGAACAAGGAACTCTTAAGCCATTCCAACTTTCAGTGGCTGTTAGTGAATAGCTAGCTAGTAGCCCCTCTGCCTAGCTTTCTCCATCCCGAATGGTGAGAGTGAGTTCATAAGATAAAAAAGCATAAAAAAGCTGACGTCGTCATGATAACAAAAAAAAAAACAAAAAAAAAAAGAGATTTTTTTTTTTCGGGCATGAACGCGCCCTCTCTCCATTGTGTGCACGTACAAAGATGCGCATCTGTACGGGGGATGCATACGTCTTGCTGCGGGGGTGCGTTTGGGCCGGTGGTTCTGCTTATTTCTCCACTATCAGTACTGGCACTATTGTAGTTCAAAATTTGAGCTCGTACTTCCCCGTCTGTGATGCTGCGGGCTTTGTTATCAGATCACACTAGAAACTACTACAAGCTACTGGGAGCCACACCCTTTGTTTTCGCGTGCGACCTTGAGTTTTCGAATTTTGTTTCTACCTTCTTTTTTTGGGGGGAAAAAACTTTTTTGCACACACTCATTGAAGAGAGATGGATGCACCGACACATACATTTTTGTATGACAATGACGTCAAAAAACAAGTATGTCCTCGTGAATGTGAACCTGATTTTTCAGACCGTTTGAACACAACAAAAATAGAAAATTAACACTTGAGGAAAAGACGACTAACACCTCCTTTAGATGCCTAAATGTTTCATGCGACATGATATCGCTCATATCAGAGGGCGAAAAGGGGCGTTGCGGCGATGGCTGCATATTGTACTTCCAACTCTCACCTATACATATCCGAACTTCAGCTCTTCTGGCTCTAGTCTAGCCAATGTCGCAGCTGCGCCCCTTGTTGCCCTCTCATATAAACTGTGCGCGTGCAATCACCATCATAAATACCCTCAAAAGTACTAACGTAGTTCGAATCGCCACGGGGGAAAGAAACGTCTTCTTCAGAGTGTGTTCATACTCTGCGTCAGCGTTTTAGGCGCACGCTGGTCAAAACGCTGGATCGATACCTACGCCCCTAATCACTGAAAACCCTGGCTGACGCTTAAAATGCTGACCAAAGTATGAACGCACTCTAACGTGACTAGGCCCCGCTGATGACTCTGATCGTGGGCGCTTTACCAAGGCTGAGCCCAAAGGAAGTGAGGGGTACTGGAGCGTCGCCTCGTGGCCCCTCCGAACTTTGTTAGCTGCACGAACTGTCGGATTGATGCCGCACCCACCTTGTTCCCATTAAGCCGGGTGTCTTGCAAGTCTCAGATCGATATAGAGCTTCGAGCGGGCAGATAGCCGATTCCATCAATGATCCAAGCTGAAATAATTCTGCAAAAAAAATTGAAGACCAAATAATCCCGTTACTCCAGTAAGGTGGAACATTTCAATGTATAAGGCTGCAGATGCACTACGGACATACGAAACAACGACTTTCTGCACACTGGCATTGATTCATTCATCCCAGAGCACCTTTCCCCTGTTTCAAGCTAGAAATCCATATCCTCTTGCCTCTATCGCACTTTCCGTTACTGAGTGCCCCACTTTACTGGAGTAGCAGTTGTTCAAACTTACAAAATAACGGCAGGAAAAGTGAGTGGAACGAAACTTGCTCGATTGATTCGCTCTGGTGCAGCGGCTGCAAAAATGTGAAATAGCAAATCGCCTCATAAAATTTCTCATCTCTATTTTACAAAATTAAAGACTCACGGAGGTAATTTGACGACTATAGGCATCAAACTAGCCCGAAGAAAGCCATCGATCCGCACCAGCCGTACCGAGAAAAGCAACAAGCCCATCGACCGAAGATCAGAAGATCACCACTTTGGTTTGATCTCTGTGACGGCGTTGGAGGAAAATCAGGTGCTGATTCAGGACTCCTGAGCGATTGAGGCCAATCTAGTGGAGTTCTGCATTACGGAAAGTGTCCTCGTAGCTGTTCAGTAAACGCACTCGGAAGATGGCAGGATGCAGTATAGTGCAAAAACTATGCAGAGCAATCTCGCGATGGGCACAGAAAATTCTCTTCTCGTGCAAGGAAGCTCGGCTAGCAGTCGCGGAGGCTGTAGCAATTTCGGGGCCAAAAAATGAGCGACAAGGGCGCTGAAGCTTTCGTTCTTCGTAACGACATCACCCACTAGAAGCGGCTCCACCCAGAGATGAACCCCACTGGTCAGTACGCTGGTGTCTATCGCCTCGCTGTCCATCTGTTCTCTCTCAATGTTCTCAGTCTCTCACTCACGCTCGGTGGATACTAAGACACTCCTCTTTCAGCATGTTTTCAGGGTTCAAAATTAAAAGAAAAGACAGCAGGGCACAGCATTCGATGGGGATTTTGGTCGAGCTTTTACGACCCCCCCCCCATAGGGAATCCCCATCGAACGCTGTGCCCTGAAAGACAGTCATGTGCAAAGGCAAGCTCAGCGTTCATTCGAGCTTGCAGAGCCTTGTTTGACATGATTGATTGTCGCTAAAGCATGGATGATGTGCTACTTTGGCACGCTTAAGGATATGCGGTCGACTACCGGCTCGCGTTGCAGAAACGCTATAGGCCACCGGCCAACGCCCTACATATCACCTGCTTATCTGATGTGGTGGTTGTTCCGCCACTAGCTCTCTAATTTCGAATGATGAGAATGGGCCGATAAGAGGAAAGAGCTGACACAAACAAGTGAGAACTCCTCCAACCACGCCCTCTCCTCGCCCTGTGCACGTGCAAACTCGGCATGGAATTCTGCATAGGGCATTTCGAATCTTATTTCCCTGCTTTTTTCACAACTGAATCGTACACAAGTTGTCATTACTACTTAAAGGCAGCGCCCGCGTTCAAATTTGATGAGTATACGGCTCAGGTAGTAATAAATAGCAAGGTAGCAAGAAACCTATTGGTGAAGAAAAATTTGAAAGAAAACATGCAAAATTGCCCTATAGGTTTTTCATACCGAATAGCGGTATTACTTGCTTAAAGGCAGCGTCCGCGATCAACCAAAGTGAAAAACCCTCCATTGAAAACGAACGCGGAGTCCGCAATCACAGCAGAAATCCCACTCTTGCGGCTCGAAATCGATTGGTTGACGAGGGCGGAGTCAACAGAGCCGGGCTGACGCCTCCTGTCCTGTTAATCCCGCCCCGACTGGTTGACAGTTATCAATGCTTGCTGGCATTGATATACGCTGAATTTCTAGAGTTCCGAGGCGGCGACGTGTATTGGAGAACTCACCAGAAGTTTGCGAAACTCGTCCACATGCCTTAAATTTCATAGGGTCTTATTTCACGCTCTTCCACACCTTTTTCCTGCTTTTTTTGATTAGTGCTTCATTGGCCACCTGTTCTAGCAAATGTGACCCCTGAAACCTGCCAAAGTCCATCGCGGGCGCTGTCTTTAAGGCGAAGAGAAGGAGTGTTGCACGAGTTCTCACTTGTTGATATCAGCTGTTTCCCCTTATCACCTCACTCTCACCACACGACGTGGAGAGAAGCAGCAAGAACAACCGCACCATCGGGCAACCATTAGCAATGAAGTTGGGCGTCGTGGTCGCCAGGTGGGCGGGGGGGGGGGGGCGGTCGACTCTTTACTAGCGATAGGCGCTATCCTCTCGCCTTTGTGAGATGAAAACTAGTACATACTGCATCCTTATGGGGAGGGCTATGATAAGGGCGTAGGAACATCAAGTGAACGCGTGCGCTGCCTTTAAGCCGCAGCTTTTTTTGCGGCTCAGTTTTGCGGATCAATTTTGTAGTCGCCTCGGCCATTCTGTCTACCGTTCCAAAGAAGTTTGGGCACTTGTAAGATGAGTTCAATCAACTCAAACTGTACTCGTCTCAAGCCGTTTATTTGCGTCTGTGAAGGTGCTAGTGATCCAAGAACATCTCAGCATTCACTTTGACGATGCTGGTCAAATTTGATTGCTTGGATTTCTTCCGGTGATTTCTCATCAGCCGGTATCCACATCGTCTGTACACTTTTGTTGATTCCACCGACGACGGGCTGCTTGTGAAGAGACGTCTGAGTCTCGGCTTCACGAAGAGTCGTCGCCTCGTGAACGTCCTCCATGCTCAGGAACTCGTCTGCATCCTGAAAGAATAGGTTTGACCAATACTAGATTGTGCCACATTTTTCTCCATTGCTACTGCCACCTACTTTTGGAGCTCAAAGGAACTCATGGAGCTTGTGTATTTCGGTAGGAAGCAGTCCACATGGGACTGAGTGTAGAGTGCTTTTTCCATGTCACATGGCACAACGACATGGCAAAACGAGTTGTCATAGGAGCTAGAGCTAAATCACAGCGCCGTGCTATGTTGAACCGTCGCCTCTACCTCCCAAGCCACCCTGTGCTGCACTGTGCGTCTGAAAGGTGACGCTTTACGCCCTTCTGTGCGCTACCTCGATCTTTTGGTCGTCTGCGCCCTCTCATAGAGTTAGCACTTGGTGCGGTACGGCTGTGGATGTGGAGGACGCAGGCGAAAAGCGCTTAGGTTTATCCGTTGCTCCCTTTAGCGAGATGAGCGCCGAATTTTACTTTTTTCCTAGGGGTTCCTTTGGCGACCATCCACCCGTAACTGGAACTTGGCTTTGAAACAACTTCATGTGCCTCTTTACCTCTTCATTCACATCATCGTCGTCTATGTGAAGTGCGACACATACGAGAGCAATCAGAGCGCAGTCGAGAATCACGCACAGACAGATGCCGAGCACTGGCACTTCTCTGAAGAGCGAAACATTCAATTGTTAATTTCCTTTAATTTTATTTCATTTTTCCGATCTTTGATGGGCTTTTGATCCTGTAGCGAATGCATGGCGCAGCCTTTGAAATTATCCTATGGTACATTCTCGGCGTTGGAAGGGGAGTGCAAGGATATAGTTCTGAGGGCGGCGGCGGCAAACAGCTAGAGAGTCAGATAGTGTGCATGGTAGAGCGTGAATGGCACAAGAAGGCATCATCCCTTTGTCACTACCCCCTCCTCTGCATGAAATCTGCGAATGCACAGCCTTTACAACTGGGTCCGTAGACTCTCCCTTGCCAACGTCGAGATGTAGACTGCAGCGGTTTGATTCCCGCTTTTCCGTGCTTTTAGTGAGCAGTTTAGCAACAAACCTTCCGAAATGGAACCTCCTCAATTTTCGGAACTCGTCACGAGAACTGCTTTTTGGAAACACCTCTGAAACCCTTCATTTTTCTGGAGTCCTCAAAAAGTAATGAGCTCTTTATAGTGCGCGTGGATAAGAAGCAAAGGCAGCAAGCATTAAGAAACGAGTAGTGCGCCCACAGCCTAGAGGTTCTGCTCCGCCCACTCTGGACGAGTCGCCCGCTCTATGTCAACAGGGACCGCTCGAACTAGGCAAACCTTTGTGGGCTTGACGCATCGCACAAAACTGTTATGCCTTGGCAGAAATTCTATTCCCCGACCGACTTAGCGCTTCTACCTGCCTTCACTAACTCGTTTTTGGCAGTTTTGACCTTGTAGATAGTCCCTTCCTTGAGTCTAGTACATACGGGGGCAGTCATACTGATGCTTTAAAGCTAAAGAAGGCAACCTGACCGTCAAAGTGGGGTTCAACTGTGGCGTTCGTGGCGTTCAGTGGCAATTTCTCTGCGCATTCCGACTTGTTCCTGGGAAGAACAGCAGGCGAAACTTTCTTAGGTGAGCTTCGCTGAGCAGTGCTGTTATGGCGCACCAGCACGGTGACTGGGAAACAATGGTCCGGCACAGAAGCTTGCGATGTCCTGAAAAGTCTGGAATTATTAGTGCTACCGTAAAGATCGAATTAGCCATAAATCAATATATTCGTCAGTGTTTGTGGGGTATTCTCTATGGCGGCGTCCTTATCAATACTCATCTAATACTTTTGAGGATTTCCTAACTATCCAAACGCGGAGTATGAACGCTGTCAAGTGAAAAGTTCTAACAGGTGAACAAGTCTAACAAGCCTTGTAACTTCTCGTTTATACCTATGACCTTATCCGAAAGCGTGAAGCTTCACACACGCCACGGAACTGATGGAACTTTCATTGATGCCAACACTTACAGTTTCGGAGTAGGTGCGATTTGGATGTTCACAAAGTCCCGGGTACAGCACTTCGACGAGAACTCGCATCTGTATCTCTGAAAAAGTGTATTTGCACTAAAACATCCGTTCGTGAGGCTTGTGTAGTTGATATCGTCGCAGTTGGTCGAGGCCATGTCAGAAGCATGAGCCCTCCTTTCACTACCAATAGTGACCGGTGATCGATTTAAGGCGAAAACATTCAGTTGTCGAATCGCCACGAGTGCGCTCCACCTCACCACTTTCAAAACTGCTCCGGCTGAATGGGACCATATCAGCTGTACCCCGCAGATCTAGTCGTGTGGGCTCTGCTAATCTGGAGCCTTGAGAGGGGTATGGACTTCGACGAGGCTCCAGATTCTCCCCTTCTCCAGGAAACTGAGCTAGCACAGAATACCGCTCAACATGCGAGGTCACTCGTCCAGTGAAATATGATATGAAACTCGTGCAATCAAAGCTATCGCTTCCGTGGTCGGGGGCGGTTGGCATTGATACGATCACTCTGTGGATGCTATACGTTGGAGGTCTCACTTATGGCGCTAGCTTGCTAAAGCTCGACTTTTGGTGGCTTTTTTTCGTGACTGAAGCCGGACCGCATCCCGTTTCCTCTCTAATGTGCCGGCTCACTAAAGAAGAACTCACCCAGTGATCCCTCTCACCCACCTTGGCCGAGCAGAGAATAGACGTAGTCTAATCTCACCCACTGCTCTTCCCCCAACTGAACTGGCACCTGAGCGAGCTTTCTGCAAACTCCGCTTACACTTACAACACTTACCAAGAACGTGCCGTTCTGGATGTCCGAAACGCACTGGGTTGAGACGAGTAGAAGGGTCAGTAGAGCTGGAACAGGAATGTTATTAAGGTGTTGTAAATCTAGCACCTTTGTCGCCCTGGTACCTACTACATCACTTAGCAAGGAAGTAACTACGGAGTATGAAAACGAACGAGTTAGTAGCATGCCGCAGACGGAGAGCAGCGTAACAAAGTGAGGCTTACTCGAATGAATGATAAACCGTCTCGTGGAAGATTGGTATCATCCTATCCGAACCATGATTTGCCTGTCAAACGATGAAAACCGTTTCCACAGGAGCACTTTTCCACGCGTGGAAATGATGAGGAATCCCGTCTTCGAGTGTGCCATGAATTCTTCCACCACTTAAAATCGTAATATAGATCAAAGGAACGGTCCACGATGACACGTGAATATGGAAGAGGTTACGTGGGAAGGTAGTGCGGTCCGGAGTGGACAACCCTGTGCCAGTTTCGCGGCGGAAAGTTGTACGGTAAAGGAATTAAGGCGCAAAGTTGCTTCAGTGGTACATCCCTTTTTCCAGTGACTCCGCCTCCAAAGTCGGCCTTCCAGCCAAAAGTAATGCTCCCGGGCAAGTATCATGGAGTGGACGCATTCAGTATCTCTTGTAGAGTCATAAGGTTCATTACTGGGAATCAGCTGATGGGAATCGTCCCAGCGCGCGGTCTTTTCGATCTTTTACCTCTACAGTTGTTTGAGGCTAGAGGGGGCCTGACGAATGCTATTCCAATGCTTTCTTTCGCATTTTCTCTTCATAGACGGTTCCCTTGGCGAGTTTTCCTCCACATTTTTGCACATCACCGAGGCTTTTTATCGCGGACCATGTCTTTAAATACTATGCAGCCACAACAATATTTGCGAGAGCCAGCTGATGTGCAAGCCAGTGGTTTTGCTTTTTCGGGCGAGTATGGTGCGATGTGAACAGGTTCGCAGCTGTCGAGATGCCGAGATGCGTGGGAATAGAGTTGGAGAGTAGTGTCGCACCAGGTTCCGCTGCGATCGTGCTGTTACGCTGCTCCGGTACGCAGCTAAAGAGCTCTATAGAATAATGGCATCTCATCCTAATGCAGGAGGGTGCAAAGGAGTGCGTCTAGCCTGATAGCGTATGGCTCGTCGCACGGCGCGTTGCGTGCCTGCGGTGCAGAGGCATGAAAGTGCATATAGCTATCCGCTATTAGGGTTACGGTAGTGCTGTACCGACGAAGTGTTGCACCTACACAATCGCATCCTTGTGGAGATAAGTGGCGTTAAAACGCATTCTGCCGTCAAACAGACTTTTCCCATGTGGTATTAAAAAAGGCATCCAAGACGAGCAGAAGGCCTTACGTTCCAAGTGGGAAGAAGACCCGTAAGGCGAGGTGGACTACAAGTCGGTCTCACGCAGAATGATTAGCAACTGTACTGTAGAAAGAACTGCTGGCAGTTGCCGTTCACAAAGTGATTCAGGCATTTTCTGCAAATGGTGCGCCTTCATTCAAGTTACGACATCTGCTGTGCCATCGTCACTTACTGTGGAGTCACGAAAGTGCGAAAACCTGTGAGACTGCTGACCGGACAACATGGGCAAGTAAGGAACTTTGCGAATTGGCGGAGTGCGGGGCCCATCACTGACGGCAACTTTCCACTCATCTCCGATAAGGTGCTTTCCATATGCGGGGTAGATTGGCCCGCACTTGCTGTAGCGTTGTAGTGTGCCGATTTCTTCGCTCAAAAGTGCGGGGGAGTGATAACCAGGTGCCGTCCCAATACTCCGCCCGCGCAGTCTTTAATGTGCAGAGCGCGCATCGATGTCAAGGTGCCGCAACAAATTGGCACTCAGCACTTGAGAACAATTAGAAGTAAGAGAGAGCAGAAAAGTAGCGCGTTTGGTTATGGTCGGGCGTATGGCTGGTGGTGGAGCAGCGCGGACGAAGCATGGAACGACGTCCGGGTACAACCACCCTCCAGGCCCTTCCGTGCACTTTAGGAAATAGTGGCAAGCCACTGCAGCAAATGATCCATTCACCTTGCATGAAAAGGACCGGTGAGTGTACATTTGGCCTTGAGGGGCGGAATAGAGCTTTGACACTTCGGAGATGTTCCCTTTACCTCAGGAGTACTTCTTCCCAACGAACATTTATATTCACTAAAGTGATGGTCACCACCTCCAGGAAGTCTGGCTTACTTTTCGCTTCCTTTTTTCTTTCACGTTGAAAGTGGCGTTACCGGGTGCAAACTGGAAAACACCTGGAATTGGCTATCCAGCAGAACGCTCATCTCTACAGAGTATCTAGGGGCTAAAAGGCAGTGTTCAGGAAATTCCACGTTATCCCAATCACTTAAGTGTTTAGAGGGGTTGTTAAATCTTTATTTTCTAAAAAGTTTTATTTTTGGTATTGTAGATTATCTTCGTCACGATATTTTAACATCAGTGATTAGTTGGCGGAGGTTTGTAGCGAATATATTCCTGAAGAAAGCAAATTATAAGTCTCTCTATAAAAAAAGGGGGAAACACTTTCATCCTCCTGGAAATGCCGTCAACGATGGTTGTATGGTCGGAACGGTAAAAAGGAGAGCCAGTGGGAAGGCGCTACAACATAGTAGTTCATCTCCTATTTCCTGTCATGTGCGTTTACCCATCTTCCGAAATTTGGGAATTTGCGTTCAATACCAGTTGCGTTCAATACCAGTGTACACGATAACCTGACTAAGCGTTCATGGTTGCCTTTACCCCCATTTTAGGGCAGAAACCAAATTACCGTGCCCACATTTCTGAAGCATTACCTAACACAGACTCCTACCTAAGGTTGCTCACCCTACCCTTGGAATCACTTCTGAACCTCTGATAAAAATTGCCCATGTGGCATACTGCTCGTCCCTAAAACAAGTTCCATTTACCTTTTGTGCTTGAGAAAATGCATGCCATGCCTGGATTTCTTTTACTAGAAAATAGACACCAACAAGTATAAGGCAAATTATTAACACAAGAAGCAGCTGCAGGAAGATCACCGTTGCGATATGGTTGTACCACTCTAAAACTTTGGAAAAGTTAAATACTACAGACTGAAATCCCCACTTTCCTACCACTTTTTCCGGAAGTTCCTGAAATTTTCCCTACTTTCTCCCAAAATTTTGCTGTCAAGCAGGCAGGGGGGGGGCGGGGTTGTATAGCCCCCACTGAAACGACGAGGGGAAGAACCGCGAAAACTCAGCGACAGAGGGAAAAATTTCTAACGTCGCACATTACTCTCAGAAAGTGAATAGACCCTCACCCTACCCTCAACCACAACCAAATACGACCTTCCATAGCGTCCGTGGAACAAGAACCAACCATCAGGTAAATCTTCTCAGTCCAAATACAACCTCCCCCCCCCCTCCTTACTTTGGAGAATCCCCAACAATGATGTGCCGTGGCCCACTATCCGCTGCGAACAAGACTATACACTTTCCACTGTATCTCTTTCCACTCTATCTTCTCTCTATAAACCAGAAGTTGTATGTCTGTATGTCTGTATGTCTGTCTGTACGACCGCTCAAAAATTGAGGACTATGTGGAAAATCACTTTTAGGGAAGGATCAAGCTTGGGATGGATGTGTCATGGGCCAACATTTACAGAGCACATACAAGGCAACCTAGGCTCCGCCCACAATGGGCGGGAGTGCGCAGAAGTGAACGGTGTCGAGGATAAAAATTTTCAAAACGCATCCTGAGCAACCCCACGGATCAATATGTTCAAGGGCGACAGCGGGATGCCAGATGAAGTAAGAGAGAGACACCCCCGGTGAATGAGCAATGGTGCCTGCTTCAGAAGTTCATAATTTCGTTTCAAGACACATGAGAACAGCAGTGAAGGGCATGGAATGGGTATGGTGGTCAAAATCGAAAATTTGTAACTTATTTGTATTTATTTATTTGTTTATTTACTTATTTACCTGTTATTTATTCTACAACAACTCAAATACACCCATACTACCACTTCAGTTTTCCACTAAGCGTCCAGTACCGACTTCCCACTCTTGACTTTACAGAAAGTTCACAACTGTCCACTAGGGGTGCGGGGGTGGGAACTCCGGGACCCACTTCAAGGATCGCCTGCTTGAAACGGGCAGAACTATGGACGGAAAATTAACCACTATCTTTAAGAATGACTAGACCATCTAACTTGCATTCGCCGTGCTAACAATGTCCTTATCGGTCAACCCTTTTGCTTTCAACTGCTTGATGAAACCGTCCGTGTCGAAATCGACATTTTCATGAAGATAGACTGCTTTAGACATGAGTGGGATCATTACGAAGCGAAGGAGCCGGCCAGCCTGCATAGAAGGCCATTATTGCTTGAGCAATACTAAAGACTGGACTGAAAAGAAAAGCTTTTATAACTTTACACGGTGTGTCATCTTAAAGGAGCGGTCCGCGATGACCTATGAAAATGCAAGAGGTTGCGGGAAGGCAGTGCGGTCCGTGCCAATTTCGCGGCGGAAAGTTGTACGATAAAGGAATTAAAAGGCGCAAGTGTCAGTCGGTACATCCTCCTCTCCAGTGCTTCCTCCTCAGGATTGCTCCCGCTGCAAACTCCGGCTTCAGGCCAAAAGTAATGTACTTGCAGCGTCATGGAGTGGAGCATTTCAATGCCCATTGTAGAGTCATAGTATTGATTACTGAAAATCAGCCGACGGAAACCGTCCCAGCGTGCGGCCTTTTCGGTCTTTTACATCAACTATCTAGTTGTTAGAGGCTAGAGGAGGCCTGGGAACGACATCGTTTCCCAACGTTACGTTATGACATATTTCTCCCTCATAAGACGGTTTCAGTGGCGATTTATTTATTAGGTTGTCCGGAAAGTTCTCAGCGTTTTGTGCACCTATTTTTTGTACATTCACTGCTGTTTAAAAACTCTTTCTGCCTTGCTTCTCAGTAGCCCATCCTGTAGAGAATTTCTTGCGCTATCTGATGGTATAATTGCCGTTTCACCATTGCTTGATAAACCCCTTTTTTCAAGATTTTTTTTTGAAGCATGTGAAAAGAGCACTTCGGACGACTATTTTCTTCGACTATAATTGGGGCAATCCGCAATCGAAACAGCTCAACAAATTAACCAGGTGTGGGGGCCCAATAGTGCTAGAGAAAGCACTGTGCGGCAATGGCTCAACAAATTTCGTTCTGGAGATTTCAGCCTTGAAAGGTGACCTCATGGCGGTCGACCTAAAGCAATATCTGACGAGGATTTTGAGGGGATTTTGGAGGCTGACCCATCCCAAATAGTTCGAGAGCTTGCAGAAAAGCTAGACGCTGGCCGGCGGCAAAAAAAATTTTTTTGGTTTTTAAAGGTGTTGCAGATTGGGGTTGAACCGCTTTGAGAAGGTGAAAAAAAACATCGAAATTAAGGTGCCCGCCCAAGCGGATGACCGGCAGAATCGGCACGTCTCGAGGTTCCTTCTTCGCACTGCTTTTGCGCAAAAGAATTGACCCGTTTTTGAACCGATTTGTCACCTGTGATGAAAAATGGATCATGTATGATAACAGGAGACGTTCCGGACAGTGGTTGGATTTGGAGGAACCACCGAGGTAATTTTCAAAGCCGAACCCTCACGAAAAAAAATTCTGGTCAGGTTTGGTGGTCATCGGCTGGTTGTAATCCACTATAACTTTTTAACACCAGGCCAAACCAACACAGTAGAACCCTACTGTGAAGGAATCAACAAAGGTATCGAAAATTTTGTCAGCTGCAGCCAACACTTATCAAAAGAAAGGGTCCGATTCTTTTGCATGACAACGCCCGCCCACACGTTTCACAAATCACTATCCATAAATTGAACGAATTGAGGGTTGAAGTTCTACCTCACCCACCATATTCTCCAGACCTTTCACCAACCGACTATCACCTTTTCAGACATTTTCAGAACTTCCTTGCTGAAAAATACTTCATCAATTAGGACCAGGCAAAAAGACCTTCGTAGATTTCGTGGATTCTCGACCACCCAGTTTTTCCTTTTATGGGATTTTCTCGGGACTGAGCTGTCTACATTGGCAAAAGTGTGCTGATTCGAATGGTGCCTATTTCGATTAAATCCGATGAGTATTAAAAAAGTTACGATCGTTTAAAGTGAAACACCCAAAACGCTGAGAACTTTCCGGACAACCTAATAACATTTCTGCAACATCTCCTGGGCTTTTTATCGCGGATCGTGCCTTTAATTCTTCTTTTTCTACATTTACTATTCCTGTTCCTTTGCTATTCTAACATCGAATTATGAAATTCTTTCTCTTCTTTCTTTATATCCACCCACTTCGTGGCACCCCACCCATTGTGCGTTGGATTCACCCTACTTACTTCCGTTCTCTACATCTCGTACCCCACCAAATCCAAACTCGACGCCCGCATTGAACCAACAAGTTCGCGTCGCTGAAATACTAGTGTACAGACGGTAAGTAACTAAAAAAAAAGGAAAAAGAGGAAACCACCCGCTCGAAATGTCCCATGTAGAACCCCAAGAAGAGCCGTGCTTGCACGTGCACAAGGCAAAAAGGTCGTTGTCGGACGAGTCCTCACTTGTCATTGTGGGTTTTTTCCTCATAACCTCACTCTCATCATTCGAAATGGAGAGAGCTGATAGTGGAACAACTGCACCACCGAGTAGCCTTTAGGAGTGAAAGGTAGACGTGGCGTTGGCCAAGTGGGTGGGGCCATGGTCGCGAGCCGGTCCTGTTCTCTCCACGT